TACTCTGTCCATGAAGCACAAGGTCTGCCTCGGCAATCTGACCTTCAGCTTCAAAGTCTCCAAAGCATTCAACCTTTGAAACTGAATTTTCAATATGACGAATGTCCTCCTGTGTGCATTATAATGTTATTTTTCCCAGAGGTAAGCAAAGAACTAGACAGCTAAGAGATTGAAGAATCTGGGAACTCCTGGGTTCATAATCTTAAGCTCTTCTTGATTGATTCCTCACCCGTAGGGGAAGTTTCAGGTTGAGAAGATATCTTAACAAAACAGTATTTGGATCCAGTGATGCCACAAAATTAGGTACTTCTGCATTTAAATATCATCCAAATATCAAATTACTCACACATACTCAAAGAGTTCACTGGAAGATATTTTAAGCAGGCAAATGTTTTTCCATTTCTAATTGCCAGAGATATAAAACATTAAACCCTAACAAACAGGAACCAAGGACTAGTTGTTCCTTTCTACACGCCTTTCTATAACATAGTAATTGTTTGAACAAAAATATTTTTTTCATTGTCTCATTTGAAGGGCAAGACTCATGAAAATCTCTTATCAACTAGGATAAAGTCATACTTCATTTCTAAAAAAGGAATGTTTTGGTCTACCATGACCATTAAAGAGACATGATAACTGGTTATTATATCTAAATTATTGTGCTGATTTTATTCATTCATTCATTCACTTATTTTGCTCCATAACTTTAGTCTTAAAATACAATTAAGTGAAATTGGGCACTGGTGTTACATTCTACCCAAAGACACCTTTCAGTGATGTATGATTTGATTAATATCACAATAGAAGTTTTCCTTACATCAGTAAGGATTTTTGCAGTTTCCAAATCCCCACTCCTGATTTTGCTTTATTAGAGCCAAGCAGAATAAGCCTATCAGGGGTGGGGAACCTGCAGCCTTGATGCCACATGTGGCCTTTTGACTGAGTCCAAGTTTTACAGAACAAATCCTTTTATTAAGGGGATTTGTTCTGTGAAGTTTGGATTCAATCAAAGGGCCACACTTGAGGACCTACGGGGTCACATGTGGCCTTGAGGCTGCAGGTTCCCCTCCCCTGGCCTACCCACTATTCTACAGGAAAATCCTTACAATGCTGAAAGAAGGCTCCTCTTGTATTATCTTCTGTAGGCTAAACATTCTTAGTCCCTGAATTGATCTTCAAAGAACATGATCTTGAAACCCTTCATCATTTTTGGTCACCCTCTTTGGAATGTTTTTATGTTTATCAATGGCCTTCCTAGAAGGTGGAACCCAGCAGTAAGAACAAAAATTCAGATATTGTCTGCTCAAGGCAGATGGGACCATCACCTCCATTATTTCCTCCTTTTTTTTTTTTTAGCTCCCCACCCCTAGTCTATATAAGCTTCAAAACATGAGGAGCTTTACAGACAGGTTGATAACACTACTTAATTCCCCCTAGCAAAAAGGCTCAATTTTTAAAAATCCAATTATAAGTTCTTACTATCTTTTCCCACTATTATTAATATCAGTAAATGATACATTGACTGGAAATGAGCCTCAATAGCTAGAAGAACAATGTGAGTCATTATTTCCATTTTTATTAGCATCCTATTTCAATGAAGGCTATGTTTGAAAGCTGGTCTAATTTCTTTTGTATCCAAACTAAGTTTTATGAGTACCAAAACTTGCAGAATGCAATCAATGATTTAATACTAAATATAGAGTAAATAAATTTTTTTAAATTTAGTTGATTCATCATAGTTAACCATATCATGGCACGCACACCGAAAATTTTTCAGATATTGTTTAACCAAAGTTAGTATTTGATCGCACTGTTTAATCCATCCTCATATTACTCTAAATAACAACTAAGCCAGCAAAAAACAAACAAACAAAAAACAATCTAGTAACAAAGTGACTGCGTAGCAGCTGGAGAGCAGTTGAACCAACCATGGTACTTGTTATGGAATGGAACATTATTGAGCTATAAGAAAAAACAAATATGAGGAATTCAACAAATTGTGGCAAGACTCATGAATTGGTGCAGATCAAAGAAAGCAGGATCAGAAGAACAACATAGGCAAAAGACTGCCATAATGTAAATTACACACCAATAAAAGGAAGTTGAATTCAGAAACTATAGTGACCAATCTTGGCCCCAGTGGACAAATGATGAAACATTCTTCTCTCTTTAGAAAAGTTGGGAGGGGGCAACAGTGCACAATGCTGCACACCAGCTGGTTTACTTTTCTTTGCTATAAGGGAGGGTTTTTAATGGGAAGGAAAATGTCTTTTTATTTTTTTAAAAAAAGGCATCAATTAGGGGCAGCCAGGTGGCACAGTGGATAGAGCACTGTCCCTGAAGTCAGGAGGATCTGAGTTCAAATCCGGCCTCAGACCAAACACTTGACACTTACTAGCTGTGTGACCCTGGGCAAGTCACTTAACCCCAATTGCCTAAAAAATAAAAATAAAAAAAAATAAAAAGGCATCAATTAAACTTTCATAAATATATATATATGTATACATATATATACACCCAGAGATTTGCAAGTAGAAAAAACTGGCGCTATGTGCAGCTTTCACTCTGAACATCTGGGTATGTACTTCTTGCTAGGGGGCTCAACTCAACCTTCCTGTTTGTTTCCATTCTATAGCATTCTTCTAATCTTGCTACTGTGTTCTAAATTTTTCTATGCTTTTACAAGGACTAGTTAATCTGACTCCTTTTTCAGTGGAAAAAAGGGCTACATAATATATTTATAAGATCATAGATTTATTAGTGGAGAGGACCTTGGTGGTCATCTAGTCTAATCCCCTCCTTTTACAGATGAGGAAACTGAGGTTCAGATGTGTGGTAAGATTGGCCCAAAGGATCAGAGATAGCTTATTTTAGAGCTTGAATTCAATGTCAGATGCTTTGATTCCCAAAGAAATACTCTTTGGGCTACACCATGAGCCTCCCATTGTACAGTGGCAAAGGGTTGTGGCTGAATATCTTTATTCTATGTGACAGAGAATTAACCAAATAATTTTTCATGTACTGTTATCTTCAGAAAATCTTTATAAAACTTTTTAAAAGGGTTTCAAACACTGTACATTATAGTTAGAGGTGACTGAAAACATGGCCTACCTTTTCTGGGAAGACTTCCACAGGTTTCATAATTGAAAAGGTCAAGGTTATCTTGCATCATAGGGAGAAAGGCTGAGATTATTTTCCAAATGTCTGCTATGTCCTAGTCAGCCCTTAGTTTTACAATTTAACATGTTTTGGGATGGCAATGCCATTGAATGTCTCCCATATTCCTAACATGAATTAAGGACTTTGAAATAATTGTCCTCTTCACCTTACAAAACAAACCAACAAGTCCCCATTTAATTACCACCAAAGAAAGAGAATAAAGAACCTTGAGCGACTTGATTCTTTTTAGAAGGTCACAGACAGAGAAAAACAACAAAATGCTGTGAAACCAATACTTAGAGGAATCCCAGGACAATGCCAAGAAACAGAATGTACTCATAGTGACTAATACATGCAAGGACTGGAAATAAATTCTAACAGATTAAACAGGTTTTATAGCAACTGAAAGGTATATTCAAATCATTCCCAAATTAAGCAAGCTTAAGAATATGGCAGTCTTCCCTATTAATAAGAGTGTAAGCTGGATAAGCAGGTTGAATAACCTATAAATTATTGCCAGTATCAGTAAGTAAGCTTTTTCCAATGTATTTTTAATTAAAAAGGACAAACTAACCCTTTAACCGAATCAGTTTACTCTAAGGGCTTCTGATACCTCTGTAGTCCTTTGCAGAAGTACAAACTTTTGTAGAGAAATGATAAAACACTTTGCCTCTTTAATAAAGATTTTCTGGGTCAAGAGGCCTCAGGCAGCTGTTCTAAAGTAATGGAATATATGCAATATGAAAAGGAAACAAAATGCATTTCTGTAAGTGTTTGTGCTTCGAACACATCCATGGTATCTTACGCAAATATTTTGCCGGGGGATCTGATGCAACGAGATTAACTTCATGTGTGACAGTATCACGTGAGAAAATAGTTTAGAATAAATAGCAGAGTTTCAGAACAAAATGGTTGTACTGAACTACTTTCCTGGGTCACTGAATATCCTATCATTTATACAAACCTATTTTAATTTTTTTTTCCAATTTCCACATGAAAGCAGGCAAATCTTGACTCTTCTGAGTTAAAAATCCTAGACAAGCTACAATGTCACAAGCCTTCATTTTAGAAGACAGCTCTATAATCGGCTTTTATCTAAAAATAGTGTCACAGCAGGTATCTACATTAACAGCTCCTAAAGCATCAGCATTTCAAGAGATCTGGGGGATGGAAACCAATGTTTGGGTTTTTTTTTTTTTTGCATCCTAAAGTAATTGAGTTACATTTTCAGTCTCAGAGCTTTTAAAACAGTTCAGCTACTACAATCTACATTTGAAAAAAATCTTTGTTATATCCTAGATATTGATAAAAAGTATTACTGTGATCCAACTTTGGTTGTTTGAGTCTTTACTTTGTAAATACCTAGACATTAAGTCAAGGAAAATCTATCTCTCTGCTTAACAACTCTAACATAATGAGTTGTCTTTCTATATCATCCCCTTGACCAGAAAGCAACTAGTTATGGTATTTATTTATCATCCTGACCCAATCATTATGTTGTTGACATTTTAATTTTTTTAAACGCTGCTTGGTTATAGCCAGGTTTGAACTGGAAAAATCTATATAGCACCTCCCCCAAACTCTGCATTTAAACACAAATAAAATAGTTTTGCATCCTTTTTCACCCCTCCGCCCTCTCCAACAAGAGCTGGAGTATAAACCACATTTATAAAAATACATATTGTTAAGGTTTTCTATCACCCACTATAAATATTCCTCTTGTAAAAGTCTATGGCCAGTCTGATAATATTAGTTAATGCATATTAAATGACTCAAGACTGGGTAAAGAAAAACACAGACCCTACGTTATAATAATATCAGTATAAACCATGAGGTCATACCTGATGACTTAGAGACTGGCATGGCTCACTGGTTCCAGGCTGCATGACCTTTCTATTTCCAGAAACCCCCAAAGATTGCATTTCCTGTCTTACAAAAGAATATCACAACCATCTCTATCTCTCAGCATCTTCAGGGTTAGTGAAGAAAGCATCAAATAGCAGGTCTGTCCATCAGGATCTGTTTAAGCCATTATCAAATGAACAAATCCTAAATACAGTAGATCATTTCCCCTTGTGCGATGACAACCATCCAGTATTCAGGAGGGCTGACACAGTTGTATTGCTGATGCTGCTAATGCTGTCTGAAAACAGTAAGCTTACTGCTTAAAGCAATTCTGCATCATCCAAACAGAGAGCAAGCCACATCCTTCAGGTTTTTTTCACTCGTGTTACTATAAAGATTTTGCCTGCCAAGAGGGAGTGGGGGACAGAATTTGGTTTTCTTTTAACTCCTTTAAAATAAGAACTAAACTACATGATTATGCATTTAAAGTTTACATTTCAAAGACCAGGGTTGAAAAAAAATGTCATTTCTAGATTGCAATGTTCTTTTTCCCTTTGCATGAGCAAGCTTCATTCTGATGACCTAAAAAGCAGCACTGTACAGATTTAAAGGAAACTTACCTTAAAAAAAAAGCCCTAGCAATCACCACCATCACAAATCCAAACCAGCAACAGATTAAAGCAAAAGCCCATATCTGCCTAGTTATAAATATATTCCCCCAGCACAGCACAATGCTTCATGTACAGTGATATACATTTACTAAATTGAAGCATAGTCACTTTAGCAAACATTTTTCCTATCAATGTCTTAAAACTTAGAAATGTAGAATTCATTTTAATTTTTAGGAGATCATTTTAAATGTGTATGCCTTAAGACCACTGGTCAGGATGTTACAGAAGGAATTTGTTCATTTGGCCAGAGATAGACTAAGTGTGCCTAAAGGTCCTTTCAATTCTGAGATTCTAAGATAAGCCAGGCATACAAAAGTACCTTGAATTTTTTGTGGCCCCTTCTCCTATAGAGTTTTAGGGTATCAAAAAATAACATGCTACTGCTGAATGCCAAAGGTGTATCATTTAAACATAAGAATAAGTCACAACTAAGTTAACAAATCCTTATTTTTATTGACTAATAATAGCTTATATTTATATGGCTTTTATCCCCCTTTTAAAGAAGAGAAATCAGAGGTCAGGTCCACACAGCTGTGAGGCAGGATTTAAACAGAAGGACTCTGCCCCCTACTCCACAAGGCCTTTCATATTTCACTATCTCATGGAAAAGGTTGTCAATAACTCACTATTAATTTACTTTTGACTCTTCAAAGCAAAATCAAGAAGTTGATTTAGGGGGGTAGCACAAGGGAAGAAATAATATAAAGTTGGAGTATTTATGCTCTCAGATTAAAATGGAAAACAGATTTTTTTAACCACACAGCCAAAGTATTTTGCTTGTATTTCAGAGATGTAGAAAATGTGTTGATCTAGAAGGCTAAATGGGCCAATGATGTCAAACGCAAATAGAAATGTATCTTAGCAGGCCACATATTGACTTTAAAAGCCACAAATTAACATTATCTATGTTTTATTGAATTCAATTTATTTTATTAAAGAATTCTCCACATATTTCAATCTGGTTCTCAGCTGCTCAAGAATTTTGGTAGCTAGAGGGCTGTGAGTTTGACACCTCTGGTGGAGGCAACACTAATGGTCAGATAATCCTAATTCTAGAGCTGGAATGGATTTTAGAGGCCATGGAGTTCAACTCCTTTATTTTACTAAAGAAGGAATTGAAGCCAATAAATGTTGAATGACTTGGGCAAAGTTATACAGGTGTTAAGTGGCAGGGCCAAGATGTGAATTTTGGTACTCTGTCTTCAAGATGAGTGTAACTTTCTACTGCACCATGTTGTCTCTGTTACAGTAGAAATAATGGTAAATTTGAAGTTGAAAGACTTGGGTTCTTCCCAACTCTACATGGCAGCGAGGTGGAGCCTCCATGGAGTACCAAGGTCCTGGATTTAAGAAGACCTGAATTCAAATATGACCTCAGACACTTCCTAGCTATTTGACCCTGGGCTAAGTGACTTAACCTCTGTCTGCTTCAGTTTCCTGATCTGTAAAATGGGGATAATAATAACCAATCCCTTCTAGGATTATTGTGAGGATCAAATGAAATAATAACTGTAAAGCACCTAGCACAGTATCTGGCACATAGTAAGCACTACATAAATATTATAGTTGCGGTTGTTGTTGTTGTTATATGGTCTTGAGAATCAGATTGGATGCTCCTTATCTTTTGTCTGGTTTTGTATCCCCAGTGCTTAGTACGTTGCCTGGTAATTGTGGGCACTTAATAAATGTTTATTAATTGACTTACTTCTATGGACCTCTCAGTTCCCTCATCTGTACTAGGTAGTCTTCAAGGTCCCTTATGGTTCTCAATTGTATGATCTTAATTTAACAGAAACAGAAAATGAGGACAACAAATATAAAATCTTATTCTTTAAACCTTCATGTTATAGTCAACCAATTATAATGACTTTAAAATTACATTATCTATCTAGAAAATATAATAATTGAGGTTTAATAATAGGTGAAGTATCTTATATTCATGAGAACAGAAAATATTTTAGTTAAATGGAGAATTATAATAAGTCAGTATATTATCTACTTTCCACTCTTGAAGTTTAATGAGTGTAACATGTCTTGCCATGGAATCTAATCAGAATGATTCTTAAGGAATCAGAAAAAAAGAATGACCTAGACAGGATTATCTCTTCAGAATAGGATTATAGAAAGTTTATTACCCATAGCTTCAATGTGTCAATCACAGGGTTTCAGATACATCTAGATCTATACAATGCCAAAGCATTTGGATAAAAATTTAATCAATCCATCTTCCAAGTTACCCAACTTTTTAACTCTGGATACACTTTTGATTTTTTTCTCTCTCTTACTCCCCACAATCAAGCCTTTTACTGTTAAGTCTAATTCCACAAGCTCTTTTCATCCATTCCCTTCCCACTGTGCAACAGATAAAGCCTTGGATTTGGCATTAGGAGAACCATGGTTCAAATTCTGCATCAAACACTTAACAGCTGTATAACCCAGGGCAAATCACAACCTCTCCATGCTTGAATTTCCTCATCTATAAAATGAGGATGACAACAGTACTGATCTCATAGGGTTGTTGTGAGGATCAAATGAGATAATTAATGTAAAGCACTTTGTAAACCTGAGATTACTATGTAAACATGAGGTATCATTATAACTCACATAGCTACCACCTTAGGTAAAGCCCTGATCACCAACCTCTCTCTGAACTATTGTGGCAACCATCTATCTGGTCTCCCTATTTCCAGTTTTGCTCTTTTCTAGGCCATTCTGAGTATAGTTGCCAAAATAATATTCCTAAGGATAAAGTATGACTATGGTCCTCCTATCCTCAAAAATCTTTAGTGATTTCCAATCACCTATAGGTTCAAATACAAATTCCCTAAGCCTAGTATTATTGACCCTCTACAATCTAGTTCCACCCTATCTTTCCAGCCTTATTTCATATTATCTCTCTTCTTGAAATCTACTTTCCAGATGAAGTTGGCATTCTCTGAAACTGACATGCCATCTCCTAAATTCATGCATTCACCTAGTGTTCTTAACACCTAGAAGGTGCTCCTTCCTTACCTTTGCCTTTCTGAATTCTTATCTTCCTTCAAACCTCAGTTCATGCGGCTTCGAGAGTGAGAAGTAGATGAATTATACTCACTTATTTTAATTGTCCATTTACCTAAAATGTTTTCTGTTCTCATAAAATATTCTGTTCTCATAAAATATTGCAACTATTATTAAACCTCAATTAATACATTCTCAGACTCAGCTCCTCCTTAATGTCCCTTCTTTCCTGAAATGCTCCTACTGCTCTCAGCCTGATCACTCAAAGGCTCTCTTTCTCTCTTCCCTGTATAATACTTATCTATACATATCATATCTTCTAGTAAATTATAAGATCTTTGAAAACACATATTCATATTTTTCTTTGCATCCCCAAAGCCTGGTGTACTGTATTTTATATTTGGTAGGTACTTAATAATTATTTATTATGTGAATGGAATAGAAATGCTGACAAATGAGATTTCTCTACATATTTGGTATCAAGTAGATGACACACTGATTCTTCAAAGTCCAACTTAAGTCCTCCCTCTTCCATGAAGCATTCCTAGATCACTCTAGTCCCAGTATTCTTAACTTGGGGCCTACAAATGTTTTGAAAAAATATTTTAATAATTGTATTTCAATATAATTGGTTTCCTTTATAATCCTAGGTATCTTATTTTGTGCATTTAAAAACATTATCCTATAGAAAGGGTCTGTAGATTTCACCAGAGTACTAAAAAGGGTCCAATATCCCCCAAAAATGAAGAACCCACACCCCAGTTCATATTAATCTCCCTTTTCTAGACTCCTTTCGCACTTGTCATCTGTATCACTCTTTTGATAATCAATCTCCTGCTATGCTGTATGGCCTTTTCATGGTTTTCTATGTGTATACCATATCTCCCCAACTAGAATGTAGCTTCTAGAAAGAAGTATAGCAGATGATGATTTATATTTTTTACATGCCCCTTGATAACTATCATGGTGCTGTTCATAAAATAGGCACTCAATAAATACTTGTTGGATTGATGAGTAAATAAAGAATAAGTAAAGGAATGATAAACAACCCTCTGTTATGGCCTGAAAATGTTCATTTTTTTAACTGGATGTTTTGAAGCATCCTATGGACACAGCCTTTGTTTTTATAAGACCAAGTAAAAAACTTATTACCAAAGTATTATAACTCTTTCTTAAAAAAAGAAATCATTCTCATATAAAACTTATGAGCATGGAATGATTTTAGTGAAAATGTTGCCAAAAAGTACTTGACAGTGAGAAAAGAGATTATGACAATTTATAAGGAAAAAATAGATGCCATGAACCAAAAATAAAATAAATTCATAACTCTGAGATTGTGTCTGTCAGAGGTACAAAGCTATTTTTTATAATAGGAAAAAAAGCTCAGAAAGGCAGCAGGACATGGT